CTGTTTTTTCTGAGTGCCATTCTTAAACTCACTTGGGGTTTTTGAAATATATTAATAAAATAAGTAAGTTTTCAAATGAATATTTCACCCGGTAATCTTCGATTAATACTAAAAACGAAATTTCGTCATGGCGTGAGTTATGAAATACTACATTGTACACCATTATAGTATCAATCACTTTTATTTAGTTGCTGTATGTAAATCAATTCGCATATTTTAAAGAAGCGATCATGTACTTTATGAGGAGAGAACATTTTCTTCCTTGTTTTATAACTCAGCTTGGAAAACGTAAGGATGACTTTAAGCTATTAAAAATGTATGTCAATTGAGGTCCTTAAATAGACAATGCGTGGGTGACGTTTTCTCTCCTCCACCCCTTCAGTTTTCTGAGGTTTTTTTGAATATATTTCATTCATATATATATATATATGAAACTCGTTCTTTATATTTGAACAATACTCTCTCAGTATGACGTCTTGCAAGATAAATAGAAACTGTAATTGTTTTTCGGTATAAACGACACCTTATGGAGGCAGTTCTAAGGAGAGAAAGTGGAAAAAGGGAAGTCCTAGATCAATTCTAGACAAGGAGGAAATGCAGAGAGCGGTAGCAGAGTATAACACATGTGTGAAAAATGCGAAAAAAAGCATTTCATCAGAATTTGATCTCCAAAGCTAGCAGCAAGGAACTCTTTCAGATAGTTAACAAGTTGACAATTGAAAAACCAGGTCAACATTTGCCCTCCCATAGCACAAGTTTGGAGCTTGCACAAAGATTTTCGAACTTCTTCGTTGATAAAGTATGTCAACTGGAGATGGATACTGACTCTTCATCATCATCACTTCCCTACAATGACTTGAGGAAGACATCTAAACCAAGCTGCTCTTTGGAAAAGTTTCTCCCAGTGACTCAATCCGACGTCGCTCGCATCATAAAGTCATCCAAGATCAAAGCTTGTCCCCTTGACCCTCTACCGGCAATGGTATTCAAGAACTGTGTCGAGGTTCTGCTCCCGGCTATCACTGATATCATAAATCAGTCCTTGCAGACGGGCATCTTTCCAGCTTCCCTCAAGTCCTCGCTCGTCATTCCCACACTGAAAAAACCCAGTTTAGAACCAGAGAGCCTCAATCACTACCGCCCATATCTAATCTACCATTTCTTGGAAAAGTGATTGAACGTGTCGTCTGTAAGCAACTAATGTCATACCTTGATGGAAACTCTCTTCTGGCGTCTAGGCAGTCTGCCTACAGGCAGTATCACAGTGTGGAAACAGCCCTAGTAAGAGTCCAAAATGATCTTCTCCAAACTTTGGATAGCAGAAATGAAGCAATCCTTGTCTTATTGGACCTTACCTCCGCATTTGATACGGTCGACCATCATATTCTTCTAACTGGGCTGAAAGAAAGATTTGGTATCACAGGCATTGCTGCTGACTGGTTAGCGTCATATCTTTCCAATCGGCAACAGCGAGTGTTGGTTGATCAAGCAACATCTGATCCAATTAGTCTTCGATGGGGCGTCCCCCAAGGATCAGTAATTGGCCCGTTGCTATTTGTATGCTATACAACTCCAGTTCAACAGATAATTCATGCACATGGCCTGTCCTGCATGATGTATGCAGATGACACACAGCTGTACATCTCTATGAACTCCGATGACAGAAATCGAGCAATCAGAAAGCTTGATGTGTGTCTTAAGGAGGTTCGAACGTGGATGGGAGGTAACCATCTCTTCTTAAATGACAACAAGACGGAAGTATTACATGTATCATCTCACATGAAGAGCAACCAGGAACTGCCACCTTTCTGCTTTGGAGAAATCAAGCCCGCTGAAGCTGTCCGGGACCTAGGGGTAGTCATCGACAAACATCTATCTCTTCGTCGCCACATAAATTTGGTGTGTCGCAGAGCTTCGTTCGCCTTAAGAAGAATTGGTGGTATTCGCCATCTCCTTAACCAGAAGACAACAGAAATACTGATCCATGCGTTTGTCACATCACTGCTGGACAACTGTAACAGTCTTCTCTTCGGCGTTCCGGACAAAGACATTTCCAAACTCCAACGAATTCAGAACTCTGCCGCCCGTCTTGTATCTATGTCAAGTAAATACAATCACATCACTCCCATCTTAAAGGAGCTCCATTGGTTACCTATTCCGGCACGCATCCACTACAAAGTTATCCTGCTCACATTTAAAGCAATCCATGGCCTTGCTCCTACTTACCTATCCGAGTTGATAGCCCAATATCTACCAACCAGATCACTCAGATCTGCCTCGCAAAATCTGCTAGTAATAAATAGAAGCCGAACCAAAACTTTCGGTGACAGGTCATTTGAATGTGCTGCACCAACCCTTTGGAACTCTCTTCCTAGCACTCTACGTGCTCAATCAGACAAAGACATGTTCCAGAAAGAGCTCAAGACATATTTGTTTAACATTTCCTTTTAATTTTGTACTGGTTCCAAAGGGTTGGTGCAGCACATACCATCTTTGTAATCATATTTATATTGTTGTATAATTATAATCATTTTCAAATATTACATGTATCACCTTTAATAGAAGCTATTTTCGATTTGTCTAATGTATAACGTATGCCTACTTGTAAGTTTTGATTATAATTATATGTAATTATTTCTATATATGTCTTTATTTCTATTGTCTTCTACATTTGTAAAGCGCATTGGTATTACCTTCGGTAATTAAATGCGCTATATAAGAGCTAACTATTATTATTATTATTAGTTCTTACGGTGCCTTACGAGACTCATTTTAATACACAATTGTATGTCAATTTTCGTTATATATACACACGCCCACGTACGCACTCACGCACGCACACACTCACACCCACACACACGTCCATGACGCCCGCACTTATTTGCAATCAACCATGCAATCAACCTGTCTCTGTGGCTTGGTGTGTTTATCAAGAAAACCAAGTTCAGTTTCTGACGCGGGCGTTTTTAAATCGTTGCAGTTTTCCCAGAAGGTTTTTTTTTAATTTAGGCATTATTCAATCTTTTTCTGTTACATTTGTTTCTCGCTGCCAATGCTGCTTGTATTGATTATTTCATGACAAATATATATCTGTCTATATATAGAATAATTGTTTAAAATTAAAAAACTATTGCTTCATGATTAACCACCCAATTCAAAATATCAATGATAAACGGATTACACATATATTTTTATATTCCTAAAGTAATGTTGTATTTGTGAGCAAACTCGTCTTGGTATTGATTTTTGGACATGTATGCATGAATACGGAAATATGAGATTGTGCGAAAACCACAGGCAGGCAATATTTTTTGCCTCTCTTTTCCCCAAATCAGTATGTCAAAAATAAAACATTTATTCTTTATGATATAATCTAATATCTCTCTATAGTTTTGATAATACAATTTTGATAAATAAACTGAAATTCCTAGGCATGCCATTTGTTAATGTTTTTCTTTCTTCAATGGCTTAAATGCCGTATATCTACCGTATCAAAGCAGTGTACAAATATTCGTTTACACGTTTTAGCACCCATGCCCAAACAAAATAAGAGAAATCTAAGTTGTTAAGGGATAAATTAGGGACAAGTGTGACACCGTTATTCTATCTTTAAAAGTTATCTCTAATGAAAGTCAAAATATGGCCCCATGTATCCGATTCATTCACCTTCATGCGCCCTTGAAATAATCACATTACTGAATCGAATCTCACATCAGCCAGAAATCGACTATAAACTATGTATGCTCATTGCGATTAAAATGGGGCAGCAATGCTCATGGGTGAAGTGTCTGGTTCATCTAAAATCCTGAGAGTTTAACAAAATAACAGGTACACGAACTTCATAATAATTCCATAGACATATAAATATAATTATATGCTTTCACACTTTTAAATGAATCCACCTCTCTCTCTCCCTCTCTCTCTCTCTCTTTTTCTCTCTCTCTTCTCTCTCGTACTCTGTCCCCCCTCAAAATTCCCTTCGATTTTTCATATCAGTAGTCAGTTGTCAGATGAGATTATTCCACTAAATATCATCTACCGGAATGAGATGACTACATTTTGGGGTCCCAATTTCAGATTCCGGTGCCTTTTCACATTACATTTTTGGGAGGCGTAATCGATTGAATTTGTAATATAGCTCCAGCACTATTATTTATGTATCGATATGAACTATACTTTGACACGCTTACTAAGCTTGATTGGAATATACATTTCTCTCCACGACTATTGATTTTTCAATTTTATGAAACCCTGTCCCTCGACTTGTTTTTGAATTTTTATTATACCCTAGATTTATCGAATTTTCCATGCGACATCCTAACATTCCGAAAAAAAGAGGTAGACAAAGTATAATCAATTTCAAAATACTTTACGTCATCAAATGAAACAACGATTTATCACACAGTTACACAAAATAAAGCTAACCATTCCCATTTAAATTGATGATACACTGTGAAAACAATACTTATCAGCCTATGTATCTAAGTTCTGAAGAAAAAAATGTTGTTATATTTTATTCCACTTAATATTAGTCGTCTTAAAGATACGTTGTCCCTTTTGAAGCCAACAACAAATTCTGTAGAACTTTGCAGGAATTATGAATATGTTATGTATGTCCTATCTGTGAAATTTAAACATTAGCAGTGTCCTAATATTCAAACTATGCAAGGAAACCCGTTAACTTGCTAGACTTCACTGTCAGACACTATTCAGTGACTGACTGGCTTGTCTTCTTCTTCGGTAATAGCATACATAAAATGAGCTGTAAAGGGTGCATGAGCATTTGTCTACATCAATAACCCATTTCTTGTAATGGCCAAAATTAGACTGATTTAATCTTTGCGCAGCATAAAACGTACGACCATTCGGTTCAATGTTCTGAAAATCAGACTATTACTTACTGGCTCTATAGCTCTGAAGTCGATTCGACAACTAATAGTCGTTATTTTCCCACTTAAAGACATTTTCAAACATAGATTTTGTTTTGTTCAGTTCTCAGGAAAACAGCAAATTTTCCTAACACATCATCTTGAATAAAATGAAATATATACCTACATTCGGACTGGAATCAATGTTCATTAAGCTGTAATCTGCTTCGAAAACATCCGAGACGGTATCCTATTTCCATCAGGGAAATTCCATGAAATATACTTCCTCCCTCAGTGATATAATGTGATGTACGCATCGTATGAGTCTGTGTGTTTTATGTTTCTTTGAAAATGTTACTTCTTACCATCAGGGAAATTCCATGAAATATACTTCCTCCCTCAGTGATATAATGTGATGTACGCATCGTATGAGTCTGTGTATTTATGTTTCTTTTAAAATGTTACTTCTTTCCATCAGGGAAATCCCATTAAATATACTTCCTCCCTCAGAGATTAAATGGTGTACGTATTGTAAGAATCTGTGTAGTTTTTATTTTTCTCTTTAAACTATGTGATTCTGTAAGCGCATTGGTACTTTTTGTTTAAACCTCCTAAACAATCAATAATATTGATTTTATTCACCTGTGCTTCTTCTATAAATATAAGCCATGAACGACATATATACATTTATATGCATTCAAATAATGTCATTAATTATGTTTTGTACTTCTGTCAGGTGAAGATATCGTAATGTTTATAGAAACGCCACCTTTCTTACCTTCTCTTGTATTTGCACATTAATTCCAGCCACGAGTAGAAGTTCCACGATATCTGCAAGTCCGTTTTCAGTCGCCTCGTGAAGAGCCGATCTTCTCTTCTGCGGAAAGAAAAAAAAATCAGTACTTTTGTTGTTGTTGAAATTTGTGATATAATTTATCCCCTTTCATCTTTTACCAGCAAACTGTTCTGGCTCCCCCCCCCCCCAAAAAAGGGAACAAAGGCATTAAAACAACTAAATATCATACTAAAATGATATCAGATAAGACAAAGGTTTCATGGTCAGTAATGCATTATTATACATGCTTATTCTATTAGATTAATTGTTTCCACGTATCTTTAATATGATTTTACCACGTATGTAATTATGCTCATGTTAAAATATCAATATAAGTTTTCTAATAAATACAAAATACAAAATACATGATAGTTGCTTTGAGTAGTTGAGTGATAGATTACTAATGGTGCATGGAGTGTAAGATTGGAAGTAAGATGGTGGAATGAAGGGGGAACGTCAGGTGTTGTTGGTGATGGGTGCGGTTGTTGCATTGATTGTTGTTATGGTGGTAATTAAAGTGGTGTCAATGGCGATATTGTTGGCGGTTGAAGTTTAATGTTGTTGATGGTGATTATGGTAGGATGGTGTTGTTGTTGGTATTTGAAGTGCTAGTAGTGGTGGTGGGTGTGGTGGAGATAGTATGTTCTTTCTGAAGGAATTATGCATAGATTTGAATGAAGAGCGGACGTCTCGTTGAAAATGCGATAAAAGACCTTGAATTAGCCACAATTCTTTCTTTGGGGTTTTCAAATGTTTTATCGGAGGATTTTTCAAAAAGGGTCCCTCTCGAGACGATCTTCCCGATTTCAGGCTTTCAGATACTCAAGGAAAGATTTAAAGCCGAGCCGAGCCGCGTCGCACCACGACCTGATTGTTTAAGTAAAAGCCCACTCCAATTTGATTTTTCGAGTGCAATCGCGAAAAATAGAAATAAAGGAGATGAAGATCGCAACAAGAGGTTCAAGAAAAGAATAGAGGCTGTACAGGCGAATAAATGTTTTACGCAAGGCCTAACAAAAAAGATGTTGTATTGCCCTTTGCGACCGACCTAAAAAAAAATTGAAATCGACGGTCGGCTTTAAAAAAAAAATGTTAAAAAAAAAAAAATGTATTCAAAACTGAGAAATATCAGCCCAAAGAGGGAGTTTAAAAATTAAAAAAAGATTTTAAAAAAAGAAAGATTTCCGACCGACCGACCCATGTTTTGGCACCTAAAGGGCAATACAATATCTTTTTTTAGGCCTAATAGATGGAGACATATTTCTCACAAAACCAGAGTAACCAAGCACTGCCAATAGTTATGAAAGACCGGCCCCGAGACAGGATTTGTGGTCAACAAGATGACGGATTGTCATTCCTCAGACACCTTTCTATGATCTCCGTATCACCTTACACGATTCATCAGTGTCATTAATAGGCTATTGTAAGAGCAATATCTAGTCTGATCGATTTCTTGATAGCCTACGGATAGCCCTCGGAGAAACTTAAAAGAAACTGTACATAACGAAATCCATCCAATGGTCGCTTTAAAAGAAATCTAGAGACCTGTATAATATAGCCATATCACGGATATCATGCAACATCTATGATAGCCAGTGTACTTTTATGGAAAAAGATATGACTCGTGCATATTGCCAATCTATATAATCGTGTGACCCCCCCCCCCCCCCCCCCTTTGCGATCTAAAAAGCAGGTTGTTTGTTTTGGGGGTTAAAGTTAATCGCGTACCAATCAAGGATTGATTTCCTAAGCGAGGCGAAATGAATATTTTGTTTACTTGGATATAGCCTGCCTGTAGAATGACAAAGAGTATGGACAAAAATTATGACAAATGTCAAACTTTCTTCATTATTCGAAATTTTTGCAGAAAATGAAAAATAAACTTTCCTTGATTGTTGATTACTCTAGAGAGGAAATAAATCAGTTCTTTTATAATTGTATATATATATATATATATATATATACATATGCTGAGCACCTAAACATTACGAAATAAACAGTACGGTGGGCTGTACTGCAAGTAAAGAAGAAGAAATCTCTCATGCCTCGTTCAAATATATGTACATTGGTTGGATGAAGTCATCATATTTTTACTGTAATACTAATAGCGATAGTGAAGGAGTTCTTAAATCCTTAAAGAAAAAACAACTTCTCGTTATCTTTTTAAAGCTTTTGTCGCGATCTTATTGGGCATTTCTAATATTCACGTATGATAGACCTATGTAGGCTTATCTAAGACTATAGGCACGTCCGAATAAATAATCGATATGATCGACATTTTAAACTCTAAGTATGTCAGGAAACCACCGCTTATTGCATGATCATATTGCATAAAATATGAAATTTGGACTTCTGTAACAAAACATTACATTTAAGGAGTTAAACGAATGTAATATATAGTAGGGGGGGGGGGGTCATACATTTGCCCAACACTTTTGATTGTGCACGATGTTAGGCCAAATTGTGTGTCCAACCAGCTTAGTGCATTCCTGGTACCTTAATTTGGATAATCTTTTGTCCAGTTAGAGTGAAAATACAGGACAGTTACTTCTACTAACAAATATTACCAAAGTTGAGCAGAATGGATTGTGATGTAGTCATTGGACAACTCTCCCGTTCTGTCGTGTACAAAAATATAATTAATTTCATTTTTTGCTCAAGTGCCTTCTACCTTGGGCACTACTCAAATATATTATGGATGGAATGTCCCAAACTGGTTGGACACATAATCATTCTAGTGTATTTTTAAGAGTGTACATTTTCAATAAAAACAACATGATGTATATGCCTCTTTCATCAACTAATTTTAGGTATTACAAGTCGATATTTCTGTTTAAATTCTATTTAGAAATACGGAGGGTCAGACAGGTGTCAAGTGTCAAATTTTAGCTGTCAACAAGGTAATTGGTCATATATTTATAGCATCGTTACCATTTTTATTACAGTTTTCATGACTTGTAAAAAGGTTGAGATACAAAAAGAAAATTTTGGATCTGGCAATGGCAAGAAAAGTCGAGGGACAAGGGAGAAGAGAAATAAGAATTGTAGGGAAGTCTGTGGAGATGGCTGGAGAACAAAGAAAAGAAAGACCTGGGTAAGGGGGAAGTTCATGGCAAAGGCTAGAAAGTAGAAACAGAGAGTTGTGGAATGGCATGGTCACCAAAGCAATAGATGCGGTACGTAGAGATGGAGAGAACGGCATGTATATCGGTAATGACTGATGTCCTAGGGGGTAGTTATCCGGGGGTGATTTTCCAGGGGGTAATTGTCCTGGTACGTTACAAACTGTCTGTGTGGGGTAGACTGGTCATCAAATTTTATGACCAAAATTATATGATTATCAAATTATTTTTTAAAAATGACCTCTTTGAAACCTGCGATGTGTAGATATGCAAAAGGTAGAAGACTGTATTATTATATATTCCACATAATTCTAAAATACTGATGACTATTACAATGGGAATATCAAATTATGACACAATATGTAATGGATACTATCAATTAATATTCTGTATTTATCAATATTTGGAACACAAACCATTCATACATGTACGTGTTTGTTGTTATTATTATTATCATTCATTACTAGAACTACAATGACTAAGTTTGTCAAGCGATGACCGCCAGTCACGGACATACATGTACAGCATGGCAGACCCTGGGGCGGAAATGGTCGCCCCTCCCTACTGCAAAAAAGAATGGTGGTAAAACTAATATTCCTATTCTTAAAAGGGCTGTCAGAGACTTGACGTTTCTGAAAGTTGTCAAAGATTTCGGCGACACGAATGTTGGAAACTCTTTCGACCCTTAGGTCATCTTCGGCCGTAAGACATGGACTCACTGTTTAAGAAATTACCGGTTTTATGAAAGACGTTGGAAAGTCAGGCATAATGTTCAGGCGCGTTGTTCATGTTGCAATAACATGAATAATCGATGTGGTTCAACTAGCAAGTAGATATGACTCACTCATAAACGGAATCGACACACAAGAGGCAATTTGAACACGGGAAATGTAATTATCTACCTCTGCCATCGATAACTTCCTCAAGGTTCAAGGTTCATTTTATTTCTTTCTTTCACAACATTTTTACATATAATAATAGAACAAAAAACAGCATAAGAAAAAACAATTTAAGTGCAATTTTAAGTCGATATATAATCCAACTGAAAGAAAGTGGAGACCTTAGAAAAGCTGGGCTTGTAAGAGCAAGGTCCCCATATAATAACATAATCCATCAATGTTTCACTTTTAAAAACATGTTAGCACGCAAGCGTATCACATCTAATCCATTATGACGTCACATTAAATGTGGAATGATGGGTAATTGGTAGGGCATTCAGTCGTGTTGTTAACCCTTCAATAATGTGCTAATGGCGTCTTACTTAATGGACCTTGGAGGCCATGGGGTTATTATGGGAAGAAGCGATTCATCAGTCTTGAAACGAAACTGTATTCTGCCTCTTTAGGGTGTCCATCTTGTCTATTTTCTTAAACCCTAAGTGTAAAGTTTGCCTTGATTCCCACGATATTGATTGTTTGATTTACCCCGTGTTTGCCTCGTTATCGTTTTCTCTCCGCATGATGAAACACCCGTCAAGAAATAGCGGGAGGAAAATATATTCATGGCTAGAGTGCCCAAGTCTGTGATTACGCGTTACTTCTAATAAAAAATAGATTACATAATGAACACAAAATACGTATTCAACAACAACCACAAAAAAGTAAAAATCGATTGGGTTTCCATTCGGACCATTCGTGGAGTTGCGTAGTGTTGCGTACCGACTACGCCGAGCGTACACTGCCCTACACGCAATCAATGAACATGTTTATTTTTTTCGCGTACATTCGGCGTAGACACTAGACGCGAAAAGTACGAATTTTTAACGTAAGTCTACGCAACACTATAATTATGCTACTATACGCCTTGCATACGCAATAGTACGCTACCCTACGCCGGTCCGTTGTGGCGTGCGCCTGTATTCAAGCTAACAATGGAAGTTACAAGGACGCAGGTTCGAAATTGAGTCACGCCTTTCGGATGGTGACGTTTAAAGGTCGGTCCCCAGACGTAAATAATCATATCTGATTGATACACGTTTGTAAAAACCCAATACACACACACACACACGCACACGCACACAGTGGCATGAATGCCCTGCCATAGTTAAGTACAACTTGAAGTCAGTCTTAGTCTTTGTGAAACACTCCCCTGGTCGTGAAAAACGATCAAGTGCAGATTTACAGCTTTAGAATATAAATATCCAATTTTATTCAACTTACCTCATTGAGTACGTTGACTTTACACCGACAAGATAGAAGCGTCTTTACACTCTCGATGTGACCCAACGTGGAGGCAACGTGTAAAGGGGTGTTGTCGTACTAGAAATATAAAATGTCAAATAGAGGAAACACCTTTTTTAAATGAAGGGGAAGACGTAAGAGTTCAAATTTTGTCATATCTACATCTAATTATTTAAAAAAACGAAAGTTTATCTTGGATTGGAAGTGGCTTAGTTAATTATTGTTGTTATCATTATTATTATAATTATTATCATTACTGTTAATATTATAAATATCATTTTGATTACGATGAAGATGATGATTATTATTATTTTTATCATCCTCTTTATCATTACCACTATTATCATTAGTATAATAATAATAATAATAATAATAATAATAATAACAATAATAATAATAACAAAGGTAATACTGATCTTACTTTTATTATGCTATTTAGTATTATTAATATTAGCATAAATATTCTCAGTAAAATTAATAGTAGTAATATCATTTTTATTATTATTTTCATCATTATTATTATTATTATTATTATTATTATTATTATTATTATCATTCCTTCACTATTATTATTATTATCAGTGCTATCATTATTATTATTGTTATTATGACTATCATTTGTTATCATAATTGCTATTATTATCGTTATTACTATTATTTTCATTATCATTATTGTTGTTATAATCAATATTATTATTATCAGTGGCGTAGAGATGACTTAATTATTGGGGGGCACCGTTCCCGAATACAGTATGAAATTTCCTATATTGGAAACACTTACCATTGCCTTACTGTTGAGATTACACCTATTTGAGGCTAGGACCTTGATGACAGAGGGGTGATCATTTTTCGCTGCAAAATGGGCTGCCGACATGCTTTTCTGTTGAAAAAATATATTGACAATGTTTTATCCTTTGATTAAAAGTGAAATTCTCCTGCTTGTATAATTGGATTCATCACCATATCGTTGCAAATTATACTGATTGCATAATTACATGAATACTGATAACATTATCAGACAATGATACTGATTGCACAATTATATAAATACTGAATATATAAGTACATACAATTAATACTGATTGCATAATTACATAAACACTTAAATTTCTTATTTGAGAACGCAAGCGTAAGGACACGACATCGCCAAGAGGTAACGTCTTTTTCTAAAATTACTACTGTCCATTTTCTCAATTTTGTGAGAAAGCAGAGCAAGCGAGCAAATGTATTGACATTTATTATAGAGACAATGCCAATGCGCCATTAAGATGCACCATAAATACGATGAACCAACCCGTTAACCGAAAAATTGTTAAGCGACTGTTAGTAATTTTAAAAATTAGAGGACTTCATCCATGCACCTCCCCCCAGCCTCCGGATCGGCCTCATACCCCTGTGACGAAAAATGAGCTGCCATTATAGCCATAGATACTTCACAATTTTGTTAGCTTCTGTTCTTTATTACCATTTTGGGGTTAATAAACTGTTCAGTTACACGACGTACTACTCACACGTACTTCTAGAATGATGCAATTAATCTCACTTAACAAAATGAGAACTCCGTGCTTTGCTTGAAATTTTCCAACTTTACATCAACCAGCGAGTCTTCCGTCACAGACTTTGATTACTAAACATGTATACAGCGTCCCGAGACAACCCCAAAGCAGCTTCACATTGGTGTAAATATTTAGAATTGAATGGGAAGCGTGGTAATAACTGAAAAGACCCTGTGTTCTAATGTAGTTAAACATTTATGCATATTTCTCTCCTGAATCCTTGGTTACCAACTAATTTATTCACCTCCTACGCATTATAGCATCTCTTTGGATGGAAATCACTTTGCATTGGAATCTACAAGTTGTTATGGTATGGAGGGCAAGTTAACGCGTTTTATTCGTCAAGAGAAACTTTTTTTCAAAAGGTATCCATAGATTTAATAGTAAACAGGTTTAACAACAACAACATGGTTTAATATGTAAGCATACGGTAGGCGATTATAGAAGCGTTATAGTCTCAGATCGGAAAGTAAGGACCCTGATGGGGGGGGGGGACGTTTCTCGAAACCGTCATTAGTCTAACTCCTTAGACATCCCATTGGAACGTGTTTTATAGAATTAACATGCGTTTCTATGGGATGTCCACGAACTTAGACGTAAGACGGTTTTGAGAAACTTGCCTCTGTGTGCTGTGTGATGAAGTAAGCGTTTGTGCATGCAAACTACGTCTTACGAAGAAAGTGCATCATCCTTCTAAAAACCAAAGTCGGTGTCAACGTTAGTATAACACATTATTAACTCTAACCAATTAACGTCAAACAGTACGTATACAGCATCAAAAACGTTCTAGGGCTACGTCAAGAAACCACTAACAACGATAAGCTGCTTGTTTGTTGAGCTATGAAAAACGAGAAAACATGCGTGGCATGACGTCGCATCCATCTTCAACATTTGAACATTAAAAAGGAGACATTGAACTCTAAGCGGTGTGTGAAGGGGATGGTTAATATTGATCATATTGGCCCGAATTCACAAAGGAGGTTTGTCGACAAACCGAGGTTTATGTACGTCATATGACGCGTTTTGACGCGTTTTTTACAAACCTAGTTTGTAAATAACAAAAGGAGGTTTGTCGAAACAAGAAGTTTGTCGACAAACCTCCTTTGTGAATTCGGGCCATTGAGTTTGTCCAAAAAAAGCAGTGCGTTGACAACCAAAGAGCAAAGCTTTAGATTAGACCGTTTATCTTTGTATCTCTTTTTCTTAAAGTCTCTCACACACTTTCCTGTTTATTTTCTTATTCCTCTCTCTCTCTCTCTCTCTCTCTTTCTCTCTCTCTTTACCATATGCCTCTGTATTTCTCTTACTCCTCCAAACACGTTCTCTTACTTTCTCTCTATCTCATCTATCCCCTAGAATTAAAAAAAACTCAGGTTTTCATTTCTCCCTCCCTATTTTGTCATAAATCGACTTTACTTCCTCACTCGCCTCATCATAATGAAGGAGAAAAAAATCCCTAGAGATTAATAACCATGCAACCGCAAAAATATAATCTCCGTGCTGCAGTTATTACTATTGTTAACCAATACTGAAAACATATCATGTTTCCGGGTTCTTTTACTTCTGGGGCGAAGAGGAAAGTCAGTTTTGTTTGTTCTCAATTTTCCTATCGTAGCAGTTAATATCTAGATCTGATTTTGTAAAGACACGTCTAGTATTATACTGTGCTGTGTACAAATCTTGAGATAATTATGGCCTGAAGGGGAAAAATTTATTGTCGAATGACACTTCTTATTCTGCTCTCAAAATCAACAAGTAAATGTGCAAATTGTTCAGAGTCTGATGAATGTTCACAGGAGGAGGTTGATGAAAACAGATTTGTTTTTAACAAAGTTATTGATTTTAAGACTAACGGTATGCCAAAAAACAACGACAAGAACAAAAACAATACACCTCACAAAGAAAAAAGAAAGGAGGGGCAGCTAGTTAAAAATAAATTGCAAAATATATGGCAGGAAAAATGTTATGAAGGCACGTCTAGTTGTGTATTCACGACATTCTTTTGGTTATAAAACCTTGTAGTTGTTAATTTAATTTGGTTATTTCGACCAGACATTCTCCTTCATATTTCGCGGTTCAATAAATATTCTTCCTCCCCCCCCCCCCTTTTTTTCGGGGGGGGGGTCAATTTCTAATAAAAGGTTGTCATGATTTGGCGAGGCAACACCAAAGTGGGGCATAAAATTGGCCAAATATTGATAACACAAATATAATAATACAGTGAGTGATGTATTGAGGAAGCAACACATTGTACTCCTGTGTATATATATATATATATATATATATATATAAGTGCTGAACTCAATCCTCTCTCTTTCTTTTCGTTCTTTTTATTTAAAAAAAAAAATTTCCTTTCTCTTCCTCCTCTCTCTCTCTCTCTCTCTCCCTCCACTTACTCTGATCGGTACATTTCGATCTACACGAATTAAAAGAAAAAGCTTTAATATTCTTTAAACTATCCAAACAACGCCCAAAGGAAGAAAAAACGGCGTAAATAACCATAATTTGCAAATCATATGAAAAAAAATGAAATTTCTCCTCCCAAATGAAGAAAATATGTAAATTGAGACACAGATTTTTAACCAATAAGCTCATAATCCTACGTGCCCTTTGCCACGCTGGATATATGGGTTATGCATGTATTATGAGTAAGTGTTTAGCCTTTATCAAAGGTGTGGTATTGTAAGGCTATGAAAACAGTAGAGTAGTAATAGTAGCAGTAGTAGTAGTAGTATATTAGAAGTAGTAGTAGTAGTAGTAGTAGTAGTAGTAGTAGTAGTACTACTACTACTAGTAGTAGTAGTGGTAGTAGTAGTAGTAGTTGTTGTAGTAGTAGTAGTAGTAGTAGTAGCAGTAATAATACTAGTAGTAGTAGGTAGTAGTAGTACAACGTAGTATTAGTAGTAGTAGTAGTAGTAGTAGTAGTAGCAGTAGTCTAGTAGTATGGTATTGGTAGTAGTAGTAGTAGTAGCAGTAGTAGTAGTACAATGTAGTAGTAGTAGTAGTAGTAGTAGTAGTAGTAGCAGTAGTCTAGTAGTATGGTATTGGTAGCAGTACTAGTAGTAGTGTAATATAGACGAATTCTTATCTAACAAAATTATATTTGATAATGTGAGCAACTATGTACCAATATTGGATATAAATGCAGTTTAAGAAACATGTAAAAACAAAAAATAAGCAAATTTCTTTCTGTTTTAAAAAAGATTTATACGAATTTTGTTCGCGATTTTCTACGACCTACGCTCTCTGAGTACAGAATAGCTTTATACAAAATTGCAGAAGTTTAATTTTCATTTCAAACTGGAATCAGGTGATTTAAAAAGTCTATAAATGGATCGGATGATAATGAACATTATGACCAAGAAGCTGTAGGGTGTCTGAATGAGCTAATAGGGACTTTTAGATTTGCGTGGACTGATACGTGTGACGTCCATTCAAGGCAGTGCATTAAAAGGACGTCGGTCGTACAATCCAAGTTGTCGTTGTGCAAATCTAAAAAGTCCCTAATACCGCGCTGGCGTATTCAGAAGAAATACTGCTCTAGATTGCAAGATGGTTGATAACGAATTGTTTAAAATAGACTTATGCAGGAATGCATTTAATTGATGGACTAAGTTTTTCATTACACCTATTCTAATTCACTGATTTTGCAAGCAAATTGACGTAAAATCTTGAAAAATGAGACAAATTGAATTTGGACTTATATTACAGCAGTATCATACTTTGATCGAAATTCAACGATGCAAATGTATATTATAGGGCGGACGGAATTCCAATTTACAGATCAAATTCTGTAGGTATTGTTATAAACTTAACAAGAAAGCATAAACTTTATCATCTTCAAAACGAGTACTTTTCTCATCCTACTATGTTACCTATGCTCTCCTCGGTAGAGATGGGCAATTAAATGTGAGTCTTTTCCCGTGTTTCAGCACACATTTAGGGAGAATTTTGATCAAACACAAAATGTATGACGCCTTTTTTCAAACGCATTTCATCGTGTTTCTTGCTTTTGTAATGTTAGCGGCAATGCTAGTCTATAGCTCTGACGATATTCTAAAGCCCCCCGTCCTAGACTGACGAATTGTCGTCTACCCATTGTCTTTGCTATCACTGTTCACGGAGACATCAAACAAAATAATGTAGAGCGAAATATCGTCTTTCTCAGCAAGCCGGCGACCATTGTATTATTATTATGGCAATAAAAAGCATGTTTAGTAAAGACGTTTTTGATTACATGTACGGAGACGAAATGGCTTTCTTTAGGGCGCATTCTTTTTGAAGAGTTAACCCTTGCAGGAAAGGACCTACTTTTAGGGCTAAATTGATCACAAAATTTCTTCAATTTGGTAACAAAATGCTCTTTTAATGCTACATTGTTAACAATAAAATGTAATGTCTCTAAAAGTAATGTACATGGGCGTCGATGTTGTCGAAAAGTTTTTTTAAATGGCAATTTTTTATATAAAAACGGTAATTTTGAATCTCTTAACATGTTGCCAATTGAAGGATTTGAAAGATTATTTCACATTGAAAATTGATGGTTTGAAACGCAATATAGCAATGAAACAGAAATGAATGCAGTGTGTGCAAAAATGTTCTCCCTTGCCCATGCATCTGGCATATTTTTAAATCTCTGAATCAAAAGTTATTGAGCCAAACCACAAAATGTGGAATGATTGTCGCGAAAGGGTACATGGACTATGCATATAGCTTTATCATGCACTGAATCACTACACGCTATATAGAGCTTGTTTATCAACTATTGTAACACTAAACATCAACTACAAGAGCCTAAACAAACATTCATCGTTTAACAGCACTGTCTATTCCACTATTACATTATGGAGTACCGAAGTGCTAACGACATATTCACTCGTCATCCTGGTTATTGTTTCAAAACAACAGAGCCTGTGCATGAGGTTCACCGCGACATCATTCAAGCAACGGGCTGGAGCAGGGGCAAATTCTGTGTTTGGCGGTGGTGTGATCACCACACCTCTATTTGGCACAAAATTGTTGGGACCACCAACCTTGACATCTTGACCAGTATGATGTCACATTTCGGTACTCAATCTATAATCATGATACCACGCCGATTGATTACTTTTATATTATATGTATTTGCATCATACCTGGTTATTATGATACAAATATCGGAGTGTAAATCCCCCCAAATCATTATTGTCTCATTTGGGAGGTAAACACTTCAATTGAGTGCTTGGTGTGGCCAGCTTTTAGACTGATGATTGATTATTTAAATAATGATGTGCGATGAGTCATATTAAGCGGATTAGTGACATGTATACTTTTAAAACAACAGATGGCGCTATATATCGGACACTGGCAGTGTCATCGCACCATCTAACCGCGGACCTTCTACAGTCCATGATCTAACTCGGTTTTAAACACCAACTGTTGCTTTGTGGGTCAGCAAACAAGGCAAGATTAAGGCTGCATGTAGTGCGTGTAACTGAAACTTGCATGTGAACTCTATTATTAGTGTGGTAATATGGTTCCCTTCAATTATAAAAAACTGTGTCGGGTAATGATCAATAAACATATTTTCCTGGTTGATTTCTGCTACCCAACCTCACAAGGCCATCCAGTTTGTTAGTCATCACACACCAACATCAATAATCTATAACTGTTCCATATTACTTACCGCTCTTTCCTGTTCACGGATCATGCAATGGAAATAGATATTACAAATAAATATACAGCACCGTTGCCATTTTTATGACATAATGAATAATAGTTGCTTGCGTAAGAAGGATCGTTTTCATGGCGGTTTACATGATCAGAATTGATTGATTTACTGATATTCAATTTGGAAATATATCACGTTTGAAAGTCAAGGAGTTCGTGAAACCTTTCTCTGAACACAAAAGTGAATGGTTGCCCCGATATCGCACCTAAAGATAAGGTTAACTTCTGGTAATGATAAAATCGAATTCTTACAGAATCCAACCAAACTTACACTGAATGTTCAAAATTACAAATAAATGACATGTGCCGAACACTTTTGGTAGAAAATGTATAGGGGCTGAGTATTGAGCACAAAAAGATAAAGAAATCAAGCTAGGTAAGTAGGCCCGACACCAAGTGGTCAACACAGGTCACCATTTGCAAAATTAATGAGAGTTGTGGTTTTATTGAAGATGATTTCCAGCAAATTTGTGTGAGGTTGTTTTTATTTTACGGGTTCAAACAATCAAGCTAATGCAGAATAAACAATCCAGAATGAGTTATAGCCATGTTCTCTCAACATAGTATTACGATGTCCATACCAGAGCTCAAGATTACCTTAAATTCTGTCAAATGTTGATAACTGGATAGACATTTATCGAATCATAATTATGTTAGCCTAATAACAGCAGAGAATATCGTTTCGAAATGACATCAAACAATCATAATGGAGAGGATGCCTCGCAACATATTTAATGACATTATAAATGGAATCTAGATCATTTGAAACAACATCATCTTTAGAGAAGTAATTCAAGTGCCATTAACAAAATAGTGGTAGATTTTAAAATTGTGAATGAGTGCCTGTTTGATTGATTGATTAACCAATTTATTGATTGACTAATTCGTCCCTATTTTCACGAAGTGACGGTAGTGAGGAAAATCGTAACGCAAAGTGAATGCAAATTTTATTCACTACCGTCACTTCGTGAAAATATTATTGATTAATCGGTTGACTGATTGATTCATTAATTGAATGTTTGGTTGATTGGTTGACTGACTGTCTGAATAAATGATTGATTGACAGACAGGCAGGCAGACAGACTGAACAATGAATGAATAGAATAATCATGAACTTACGTTTGCTTGGGCATTGCCGTCAGCTCCCTTAGAGAGAAGCAGTTCAACGATGCTTGCATGACCCGATTCGGCAGCCATAAGAAGAGGTGTTTTCCCTTCCTGTACTCAAGAGATATTAACACATTGAATTGTATAAGCATCGCCTATGTGAATTTACTTATCCTTAAATCAACATATTTGGAGGAAAAATGGAGATAACGTAGAGTTCATGAAACGGATATAAATTAAATGGACAATATCTGCATGCATGTTGAGCATATGATCTCATTAATCTTCAAATGAACATATTTGGAAACTGTGAAGATGAGTACGTAGATTTCTTGAAACGGATATGAAACCAATATCTGCATGCAAGTTGAGTCAGTCTATATTTTATCATATTTATGAAAACTAAATTTATTGTGTTCCACTGTAATTCTGTGAATGAAGGCTAGTTTCGTTGCACGAGTATAGGCTAGGCATTTCCAGTGCAAACCAAAGCATATTGGCTCAACCCTAATTACAGCTATAACCGTATGATAGATTAGAAAACCTATATTATAACCCTTGGATGCAGGCGTTCTGACCAGTTTTAAAAATATATTATAAAACAGAAAATAATTCCAAAACCCAACGAATGATTTTTGTTATACAACGTACCTCATTTCTAATGTTAATCTCCAGTTCATACTCGAGGAGTGTGGAGACCATGTCAACATGACCATTACCCGCCGCTAGATGGAGTGATGTAGAACCATCCTGTTTGTGGAGAGAGAAATATCAAACGATACTTATAGCTTGAACAAAATGCCTATAATTAATTATGTATTTAAATTGTGAACAGTATAAACAACAGTTTTCACCATAGTTTTGTTGTATTATAGTATAACTCGAAAGGGAAAAATATAACCCTAGTTGGTGTCAATAGGCAGAATCGTCGTTTAATTCGGGTGATTGAATTGAAGTAAAATTATTGTTTGTTTTTTTTTCCTTTTCTTTCTTAAAGGTACTATGTCCCATTTGCAGGCCAAAAAAATGAAAAAGTTAAATTCCAACTGCATTTGAAAAATAATACTAATTTAGAACTTCCGTAAAAAAAGTGGGGGTTGAAATGTCTTCAAGTGGGAAAATAACGACTATTAGTTGTCAAATCGACTTTAGGGTTATAGAGCCCAAAAGTAATAGTCTTGATTTTCAGACAATTGTACCAAATGGTCATACGTTTTATGCTGCGCAAAGATTCAATCAGTTTAATCTTGGCCATCACAAGAAGTGGGTTATTGATGTAGACAAATGCTCATGTACCCTTTTACTCTTTTCATGTATGTTATTACCAAAGAAGAAAAAAGCCTGTCAGTCACTCAGTAGTGTCTGACAGTGAAGTCTAGCAAGTAAACGGGTTTCCTTGCATAATTTAAATATGAGGACACTGCTAACGTTTAAATTTCACAGATAGGACATACATGACATATTCATAATTCCTGCAAGGTTCTACAGAATTTGAGGTTGGCTGCAAAAGGGACATAGTACCTTTAACGTAATTTCATGTTCATGTTATAGCTGTATTAAATTGCATTCATTCAAAGTATACATGTACATCAGATTACACTAACAACTACATCATTATGATCAATCATTTCAATTATTAATCAGTCTTCATGTATGGAAATGTGCATGAAGATAAGTAGTGATATAGACCACGCCTACTGACATTTTGGGAAAATATGCCGAAACAGTGATTAATTTCAATCTAAAGATAAGAAAATGGAATGATGTATAGTGTAAACTTACGTTTGCTCTTGCAAATTTGTTGCATTTGACTTTAGCGAGGTACTCGAGAGCTGAGACTTGGCCGTGTTCAGCCGCCACGTGCAGAGGAGATTTTCCACCCTTGAAAATACATACAAATAAAAAGGAATGGTTGAATTAGAGTCATAGTAATTGCAGTCGACAATCATATTTATTCATCGTAGGGTAGTATAAGACAATGTACGCATAAGTAAAAACACTTCCATATAATACCAACTGTGCCTTTAATTGTTATAAGTATGCATCGTGGCTATGCCTTCTATACAAAAGAGTATTACGATCCAACATTATTCATCATATTTTTGGACAACAGCAATAAGGAAAATGATTGATTGATTGATAAATAGATACGTAACAGATGTATAATTAAACGTGAATATTATCGGAGGGAAATCATTTCAAATCTCATAATGCAAATATATCATTGCATCACAAACTTTATACCTTACTTAAAATTTCATTTTTTTCCCACAAATATAACGTAACGAAATATTGCGAGTCATTTGGAACTACAGTTCCTTATGATTAAGACTAAAAATGTGAAATAACTCATTTTACTAAAGAAAGGTGCTAGTCTGTATAATGTCATTTATTCATTTACAGCTTTCTTTTAGAAGGTCTTTATATATCAATTATACACAAATGTAAGTAGTGTTTCTTCAATCAAATAATTATTTATAATGCAGTATATAAGAAAACTGATACAGGCATAATTATTTTAGCGAAAGATGCTAAATATGTGTTCATAGTTACAGCTATATTGATCGCACAAACCTCCAAATCTCTACGACACAACATGCTGAAGAACAATTATATGCAAAACAATGATCTCTCAAACAATATAAATGCATTGTACGATACGCACTACAAGTTGACAATGAATTCGGCAAGGAAAAAATGTTTAACTTATGCTAATTCCATCTTACACGAATAAATGAGATCATGCAATAAAAGAAAAAAAAACATAAACAAACCACGATGATAAGTAAATAGCGCAAGGGAGCTCACACTGAGTCCTTAAATTGCATAACTGGGAAATAGACTGAATTAAAAGAAGGAAGATACTTTTTTCCATTTTGCTATATGCACTTAAATGAACGTATATAGCTTCAATTGCATTTCTTCTTATAGTCAAGAAAGTTTTTTTTTTTTTTTTTTTTTTTGGGGGGGGTATTTTTTTTGTAAATTTAATTTCAAATTGAAATTGTTTAGGTAATGAACTTAATAATCTGCATCTTACACGTATGTGATAATGTTCTAGGACAACCGAACTGTACCATTACCACAAGCTTTGTAGGCCTACGGATGTAACAACAATTATGGTGATGTGATGGAACAATCATTTGATGTGACGACATGCTACAGTATAACACATTCCTGACACGATGACATCACGGCTACATTTTTCAAAAGAACAAATCGTCATGCAATACCAAAATGAACCCCGTCGACTGTATCCGTACAACGAAGACCCGGTCAAAACAGCGACAAACAGCGACATGCCGGTAACAACCGCGTCAAAGCATGCGGTATACCTCCTTTGATCTCTTCTCCAGTAAGGAATCGGACCGACGCCTTTTCTTTTTCTTCTCATGCGGTTCCTTTTCAGGTTGCCACCGTCCTTTTCTGACCATTCTCTGTGAGAACGACTCCTCACGCGGTTGCTCTGGTGTGTAGTTGTTATAATAATCATAAGCCTCACTCAGTTCCTGCACTGAAGACTCATTCAGGCGACGGCAGAGGTTGGGATTAGATGAACTTAGCTCACTTTGAGCCGCGATCAACGACCAGCCCGATGACGTCGCGTTGTTCGAGAGGCAGTTCGCGGCCAGCGATGACCGACGTCGAATTTGGTCGAGTTCGTTTGGATTTAACAACCTCTGATAGTGGGTGTTGAAAGTAGTATATTTAAAGAGAAGAATGTAACCTAAATGAAGCTCAAATTTGGGTTCCACAATCCCAAACTCCATAAAGAAATATTTGATTTTCATGTGAAACAGAACATTTTCATCACGAACCTCGTGTTAAATTCTTTGCGGTTTCATAAACTTTGACGATTATAAGACTTATAAGAGGGATGGTTCTCAGTTTCAAGTATCTTTAAAAAGGAGGAAAAGATAGGATGAAACTTTTCATGCATGGATCTACCTTTTTTTAAATAACATTTAAAGTCTCTCTCTCTCTCTCTCTCTCTCTCTTTCCACGCCTCCCTCCCCCTCTATCTCTCCAAACGGTTATTAAAATATTTGTAAAAATCCACAGCATTGCAACAAAACACAAATAACACGAAGAGATGTGGATGATGGAGTGAAAAGGGTCACGTCACACAAATTAATACAGGTGTCTTAAAGATAAAGACCGATAATGTTAAAATTGCGGTTCAAGGGTTTTGGGTGCAAAATATCCATTCAATATTGTTTAGATATTGCCTTCAGAGGTTTAAATGGCAATATCTCAACCTAAATTCGCCAAAAAACAGAAATAAATGCCCAAATGCCCAATATTGAAGTGCATAATAATTTACCAAATATATCAATTAGTAGGCGGTTTCCTGGCAAAATTTGTATCTTCACGTATTTAGTCAAAACATATTCTTTCACATGATTGGTGATAAGAGCTTCCATTTCATTTTAAGAGAGGGGGGCGTTTCCAAAACTGGTCTATACCTTTAGACTCACAAAACACCAACAAGTGTGTACTTACCATTCTGTAGATTTTGATCAAAAAAGTAATTACAAAATGTAATAATTATTTAAAGATGATTTCTTGTTATTATATATAATTAATTGGTATTTAGACTCATTGGCAGGTTATGTTTTTGTTCAGTGGCATCGTAATTTACTTAGCAGCAGTGTAAAGTTAAAAGATAAAACTGATCAATAAGACAAGGCAAACTCTCTGAATCAAAACTCTCTACACGAAAACACTCTAAATATGTTCACTTCTGTCCTGCAATAAACATAACGAAATATAGAATAAACATCAGGTACATGATGAACACAGACCTAAAATATCAGATGTGGTTTATTGCATCCCCTGTTTTCGTAATGAATGTGATATAAAACATTGGCCTGAACAAAATTTCGACATCTTTGATTATGACGAAACCTATTTTGTCCATGATTTGAAAGCAAACGAGAAAAAAAATAATCAAAACAAATGATCATAGAGTTAATTTATGAACTATATAACTGACGACGTTATAACCCATAAGGATTGATAATTACCTCAGTACAATGTGATTTTTAGACAACATGTACTGAAATATATGTACAGCAAACTTGATAGTCGCCATCGCACCTCTATTATGTAATATTCATAACATTATGAAATAAAATGAATAACCAAAGAAACAAATAATTGAATCAAAATCGAACGGAATGAAATCAAATTTTAGAAAAACTTACGTCGTCTTTATTTGTTTTTTTCTCCGCGAAGGAATCTACGCTTCTGGTCTTCTTCTTCACTTCTGTCGGTTTCCCCATGGCCATGTTGCCGATGTTGCCCATCATGTTGCCTGCTGCACTAAACAAGCCAGTCACCTTGTTTTGTATAAGTTAAACCACCACAATGTCCACCGTGAAATGGCGAAGTTAGGTAACCATGTACCAAGAGGGTATGTTGTAAACCATGATGTTGTGTACCATAATTGTGTGTACCATAATGTTTTTTTTTACCATTGTGTTGTATACCACCAATGTGTACCATGGAGTTTTTTTATAAGGTCGTGTACCACGATGTTGTTCACGATTACGTGATGTTGCATACCATGATGTTAATGTGTACCAAGTTGTTACATAGCATGTTGTTGTATATGTGTACCACAATTATTGTTTATCATGAAGATGTATACCATGAAAATGTTTCACATGTTTTGTTCAATGAAGTTGAATTAAATGAAGTTGAATACCGTCATGTTGTGCATCATTACGTTGTTGTATACAATGATGTTATAAACCACGATAGTGTTTTCCATGAAGTTTAGGCGAATGTTTTGAATGAAGTCGTGAATTATTTTTGTATTATGATGGAACGGAACACGACACATTATGAAAACAAAATGGTTGTTTACGATGGGCGTGGTGAGAAAATTACCATGCAACAATACATGACAAATATAATTACATCAAAGACGAGCGGTATAGAGATGGTGATGTTAGATAATTGTTTTAATCATGTTGATGATGGTGATGATGACACGGCAAATATTAAAGTCATTATTGTCCATGCAAATATTTGTTGAAAGTAAGTGTGTGAAGTGTTAGGTTTAGACAGACACGGCAAGAAAAGGGAAGAACAATTGAAAACGTGCAATTAACATACTGCAAAGAATACACTTATACCTATTATATATGATACTCAAGAAATATAAACAACTGCATGTATATCTTATAACCTCAGTTAACGTAAAACTCATAATTTATAGACACAAAAAGTGTTCTATAATTTGCAAAACTAAAATGAACATGACTAATATGCCAGCAGGCGAACTAGGAAATAATTATGGTTATGACTGGGTGTTTTTTTTTTTTATCTAGCCTCTAAACAGTCTGTTGAATAAATGGTCTATGACACGATTTTGGCACTTTATTTGCCTAAACAGTTCAAATTTGTGATATACCAAATCAATGATATACCATGATACCAGAGAAATGTCCATGATTGTATATAACCAGGTTATGTAGTCGTGGCCGACGGTTCCGAGTCACAAATATTACTTTCAATTGGCTTTGTGCTCGTGACTCGGTCCGATGCCAAGACCTGGGGGTGTTTCACAAAGATCCTAAGTCAAACTTAACTCTAAGTTGGACTTAAAAATTATGGAGAGCCATTTGTAGCCTTAAAATGAAATATATTCAAAAGCAAAAATTGAAGTATTTTAGACTTTTCATAAGTTCCACATCAAGAACATTATATTTTTTTGACGACAGAAAAGATGGATGATTTGAATCAACATGTTATGCCTTTTAAAATTATTTTTACAAAATATTTTCAATGATGCTGCCGGCTTCCCATAAAAGTCCAACTTAGAGATAAGTTCGACTTGGGATCTTTGTGAAACACCCCCCAGGACCACTAAAAAATATGCCATCTAGGCCGGACTCGACATTTCTAGAAGAGAGCATTCAATGTCATTCAAATCACATATTACATGATATCAAAATATAAACACATGATATCAAAATAACACATGATATCAAAATAACACATGATATCAAAATGACAGTACATCAATAATCTACAGCTTTGGCAGATTCCAACATACGGTCAATATCGATATTGCAAACATATTCCTGTGAAAATATGGCAGTGTACTGGATATTTTGGCACCCAAGCATCCCATATATCGCATAATTAATAAGTGACATTATAAGCATGACATAATTATGAAGCAAAAGATTAAAAATAAATTATGCATTTTTATTTTGTTCAGCAAAAGCATGGAAATTCCATTATCAAGCAACTATGAATATACAATCTCAATCGCAAGGTAGCGAGCAAGAGCATGCATTTGTTTACATTTAAGAATCGAACAAAGATGTACAAGTAGCACAAGAATTCATTGTATGAAGTGAAATTTGATAACAGTATTAAGCAAATGAAGTATATTTATCATTTGTGGGCATTTAACATAATCACAATCGAAATAGACATGAGCAATGGTGTAGGTGCAAAGGAAAGTACACCCATCCCCTCCACCAAATTGCAAAGCAAAAAATATTTGTATGAGGTAAAGAGAGAAAGACACGGTGACGTGATAAAGTACAGAAGAAGGGCAAGGAATGAAATATGCTAAATGTACCACTTCTCCTATACCCCCACCCCCACCCTTCTCCGTGCCGCCTGGTTGCCGTGCTTCCTCGCGTCGCATTGTATCCACTTAGAGAAGGATTCGTACACCCCCCCCCCCCCCACCCCGCCTCCCCCGACATCCAGTGGCCCCTTAACGCCACTGCAAATGTGATTTTACACAACCAAGTTATGATACAATAAATGCGAAACAAATAGATATAGTCCTCTTTTGCAGCAATAGCAAAAACACCAAGCAATGAAGCACTAAGCAGCAAGGTCGAAAAGCATTTTTGAAGACCTTAATTTGAATGAATGGCATGTCTACATGATGGGGATCTTACCTGTTAAACAAATACGTGAAGCCTCTTACAAAAAAGGAATGTGAACTTACATTCATATATATTTTTATCAATTCTTTCTGTTCTGTTTTTAGCTTTCCCTTTAGAAATATGATTTCAGTTCTTTTAAGAACTAACACATCTCTCCGAGAAACAATATCCCAGTCATTAAAAGGACTACACGCATGGTGTACCTGTTTACAGTATCCTGACTCATCTCCCTCACTATGCAAACCTATAAAGAACACTTGAATATGATATTCATAACCATTGACGGAGCTCCATAGGATAAAGAATCATAAAGACCCTTCCCCTCCCCCCCCCCCCCAAAAAAAAAAAGAGAGAGGAAGAAAGGAAGGAAAAGGGGGAACATGGAAGAAGATGAAAAGAGCATAGGATCATTATGACCCCCCTCCCCCTCCCCAATCGAACGGCGGGGGAGGCAAAGTAGAGATAAAGAAAGGTAGGGAAGGAGAACATGAAAGAAGATGATACTGTAGAAGCATAGGAGCATAATGACCCTTCCCCCCACCCCCCCCCCCCTCCCATCGATCGCGAGCGGAAGGCAAAAAAGAGATAATGAAAGGAAGGGAAGGGGGAACATGAAAGAAGAAGATAGGAGCGATCACCATGAAATGAAGCAAACCAAAAACCAAAAACCCGCCTGATTTCTTTTCTCCTCCAGAGGAACCCTGATACACCCAATGACTACCGATCACCGACCGATTTTTACCCGATTCATATTTGACGTAGGCCGTGACAAGTCTTCATGGCTCCCACTCCTATTGTTAAGCACAGATACCACTCCGGGGAAAAAACTTGAAGTTAATGCTGACGCGATATCCTGTTGAGAAAAAGTGCCATTTCTACTCATTCGTCATTATTCCAACACCACATGTGTCTATCAGACGTTATAGCGGACCGGTAAGAAAATGAGAAATAAAGGTGAGGAATCCCATTTCGTGCAAGACATTTCCAAAATCAAGAAGAAAAAAACCTGCCGCAAAACATAGATGAGAGTCCGAAATCTTCGTTCTTTGACGTTTATACCTCCTTTTTTGTTTTTTAGTTTTTTCATTTTTTTTAACCAATGAAAGATAAAAGAATCGATAAACCTATGATAAAACAAACAACTAAAATAAAACAGAAAACGTAAGATGAAGCCTCTGATTTCTCATCATTGCTTTATAGTGTTTTGTATAATTTCAGAAAAATTTCTTCCCCAGATTTTTGTGCAGGGTAAATACAAATGGAAGAGAGGGAATCAAGATTAGTAAACATTCCATTTCACCGCGCCTTACCTTTGGCTTTTGAAACCTGGCAAGATCCTGACGATATTTCTCTTTAGCCTCTTCCAAATCAGTCTTGTAAAATTTGTCAATAATACTAGTTATTCGTTACAAATATGACTTTTGTTTTCTCAACATTGTGTATATTATATCTACATAATCGGTGTAAGCATAACGACGGGGGCGTGGCCACAGGAGTGTGACCCTCCCATTTGAATTTGTTTACATTTTTCTGTTTGTAGCACTTTCATTTAATTTCATTTATTTTTAATATTGTTTCAAAATAAACACTAAAAATGGCCTTTTCAGCCTTCATTAATTTCGTTTCCTTTCCTTTTTTGGGGTTTAAACAAGATTATGAAACACTGCAAGCGTGGTCAGAAATATGTGAAAATCATGATAATGTAAAGTTCTTTTTTTTTCTTGCCTGGAGGGGCTTTAAGCTGAATTTCGAACAATATACATTGTAGGTCCCCGCACATTCAAAATAGTAAAGCGACTTCCGTCACCCTGGAATTGGAAATAACATGTTATATTCTACACTGTTTTCAGTTGCAAAAGACCAAATGGTTGAGAAGTTATATGAATTCTCGGGAAACACTAGCAAACAATATTCGTCATGGTAATATTTTAATAATGATGATAATTAAATAATAATAATTAAAATTTAATTTCCGTTGTATTTGGGGGAACGGTAAAAAGTTTTCAGAGGAAACAAAATAGATATAATAATGAGCGTCCTGTAAAGAAGTTTTTTTTATTAATATCGCAATTGCATTCTAAATAGACTTTGATCAATATTTTTAGAGCACTCATGAAGATGCTAATCCTATTTTATTTTTTTTTGCTGCTAGCTTTAACGCAAGAAATATTAGCATCATTAGTCGCAGAGAATAAGAGACTTTTCACGCACAAATCTCCAGTCAAAAGTCTTCAAGAGACGGAAAATCCAATGAGGATCAGAGATTAGAGATCGACTGGTTAAAAATATTAACAGAGATTAATCAGATATAAGAGTCATGTTAAGGTAAAGATAGCCGACAGAAATATTTGGGGTCGAAATTACTTGATGATACGCGAAGTATACATGATTACACCTATATAATAGTTTAGACATGGAAATAGTAGTATGCTATAGACAGTGACAGTAATAGTTTGGATCGAGATACGCAAACTAAATAGGATATCTCTACCTATATGGTATATAATTCAGACAGTGATATATCGTATGCGACAGAAATACCTTTGATAGAGATTATATGAAATTGTATCGTGTTTACAAATCCGGCAGTAAATACATGTAGTACGTTTCTATTGAATGCATATAGTTTAGAAAAGGAAAATTATTATTCTATAAATAGAACCAGAAAGTGTTTTGATCAAGATTATGTAACAGTTTACCCGCAGTTAATAGTCTTTCTACCAGTGCAAGATAGTTTAGACGGAAATATTTTGCTATATTGATAGCGTGAGAATATTTACAGAAATACATAATTGCTGAAATTATTTTGTTACAGCGTATTGCTTTATAATACGTGACAAACATGAATAGGCCGATTTCTCTATGTACGATAATTTAAACAGGGAGATTTTCATTTTTCCCACATTGACATTAGAAAATTGATAAAAATGATAAGAAACTTAATTTGTCAGCAGAGCATACTGCAAGTGGCTTTTTTAGCTAATTAATGGACATATTAATAAAGCAGCGAAATCATGAAAATGTTCAACTCGATACGTAAGTTTCACAAAGTAATAAGTGGAACATGACAAATCATCCAAACCGGTGTAATAATTATTGCCTATTATTTAGGTATACGTTGTATCGAATTTACTTCCAATCTCTTACATCATATGGGAATACTGAAATTGTAAATGGTTAAACGGACACCTCAGTTTCCACCCCCCCCCCCGAATGTGGTATGATTCATATTACTTTAGCAGAAGGGTTACTCTTGAGGATAGAATTTTCTGCAAGTCTTCCAGCTCTTGAGATTATGATAAAATGTGAAGATTATCTTACCTTTCCCGACACAGCATTGAGACTGATTCCTCCACCGTCGTCCTCTTCGTAGTCGCTGTCCATCGGGTCTTCGTCGAGGAGTTCGCGTACGATGTACTCCAGGACGTTACGATGACCTCGCGATGCTGCACAGTGGACGATATTCATCCCTTGCTGTATGGTTAAGCAAAGTTGTGGTAATAATGAAAATCTTCTTGATTGATAGAGCACTCAACGGTATATCAAAGCGTTTACAAAACATGACGGTAACCCCTGTCATCAGATTTGAGGCTCGCTCACATACATTTTGGGCACATTCTCCACTCCATGGGGAGCAATACGACCAGTTGCAAGTTTTAAAACACGCATAACGCTAACCAAGGTAAAAGCAAGGAATTATGTGTTTATCTCACCGGATACTTATCTATTTATCTTGGTGAGAAGGAGCAATGTAGATCATTAACTGAATAGAATATCATGATAATATGTGTAACTCTTGTATTTGACGAGCATATTTGGATAAACCACAAACGTTTATAATGCAAATGCATGATTAAAGAAGCTTACATTTTACCAGAAACTTTTTTATTCTTCAAATTTATATCTATAAGTTAATAAAGAAGTAAACTAACCTTGTTTTCTGCTTTAACGTCGGCTCCTGATCTTACAAGTGCTTTCATTGCTTCGTGCTTCCCAAACCACGTCGCCCACAAGAGGGCGTTCATCCCAAACTAGAGTAAATAAAACATGAAAGGAAATATAGATGACGTCGTATATATATATATATATATATATATATATATATATATATATATATATATGTAGGCCTATATATTAAAGTAGATTTAGGGTGATAGATTATGCGGCATGGATGGTGACTTTATTTCACATGAGGATAATGATGAGGAGGATGATGATAATGACGAGTACTACGATGATGATGATGATGATGAGGGTGACGATGATAACGGCAATAATGATGAGAATAATGATCACGGCGATGATGACAATGATGATGACAACTATGATAAAGATGATGACGATGAAGATAATTCTGATGACAACGACGATGGTGTGGAAGTTGTCGTTGTTTGTAATGATAGCAATAGTGCTGACAAGGAAGAGATGGCGGCGAAAAAATGATGATAATGAGGACAACCAGGACGACGACGAGAGCGCCGAGAATGTCAACGATAATGAAAGAGAAAATGATCGGGAATATGAAAATGATGGGAATTATATTAAATCATGATACTGATTATGTTTGTGATTATAGGCTACCTCCTTACCTTATCTGCCAAATCTATTCTAGCATCAGCATCAGTTAGCGATTCAATGACCTCCGTATGACCTTGTCCCGCTGCCAGCTGCAATGGTGTACGATCCCGCTGTAAAGAAATGGTAGGTAATAGTTTTTAAATAGCTTGTATTATTATTACCTATTTTCTTTATTAACAAGATTATTTGCTGTAAATATTATTATGTGCAATCTGAGTTGTATACAGGTTTAAATAACAAACTTCTTAGATGTACAGCCTTAATCCATGATTAATATATAGTATGAGGCAATCGATCAAGATTCTCATGCAAAAAAAAGAAAACAGAATGAAACCATCATTATGATCCACAAACTCCAGCAATGACACCTCAACCATCATGCATCATCATCATCATCATCATCACCATCACCACACTCGACCCAGGTGAGGTAGCCTAAATGGGTACCTGGCAGGCAGGCATTAAAGCCCTTCAATACTAGTGAACATGAGGGATTAGACTACCCTGCAAGGTCACTGGACAGGTAGTTATCAAATCAGCTCTCAATTGACATCAGAAAAAGAGGATCATGGGGGACCAATGGTCACCGATTATGCATTGTTTATTGTATGGAGGGAGCAAGTAGCTATAAGTAGTGCAGTGTGGCTTTAATTCCGTGAAATGCTAGACCGCCATAATGACAGCCATGCTAAAGCTGGGGGTAATAATAATTGTGGAGCACCAGCAGGCGTGTCAAGTCTGACAGACATGAAAGCTATACAAGAACCCACCATCATTATGTTCTTTGGCAAAACATTGATCTACATTTGCCACACTCAACCCAGGTGAGGTAAATGGGTACCTGGTAGGATTATTCCTTGGAATGCACTGTGCGCTGATAAGGCTGCCGGGGCTAAAGCTAGGGTAATAAAGTCCAAAGCTCTTTGGAAGCGCATAGAGATGTTATTTCATAACGTATTATGCGCTATACAAGAACTGAACTATTATTATTATTGGTAGTAACATCAACATCATAACAATATAGCTCGATTATCCTAAATCACTAGCACAGATTGCTCGAAACCAATTTCCTCGGAAAAGATCTTTCTTTGATTTGTTTTTATTTTTTTAATTTCTTTCCTTTCGAGTTTCTAGATATTGAGGTATGCCAAAGGGAGCCCCCTGTCTGCCCCCGAGAGAAAAAGGAAACCTGATTCCGAGAAACCTTTCTACAAAACACGAGCAGGTTTGTCAGGACGGTGCCAATTTAGAACTGACAGGACTTGGTAACCTGGCATAAAACTATTCTATCTTTTTTTTCAAATATTATAATTATTAAAAAATTTAAAAAAAGTAACTGCCAAAAAACAAAAGAGAAGTCACTTGTATTATTACATATGATTAAAAAATAAAATTTTAAAAATTGTTTATGATAATAGTCAAAATTGACTGATTGCCATAAAACAATAACCACTTCTCTTAATAATGATAATTATGATGCACTACAGGGTCTTACTTCATCCATGCAGTTCACGTTGATTTTCTGTGCAATCAGGGCGTCCACCAGCGCAAGGTCCCCTGTCCTACACGCTTCATGAAACTGCTTCTCTTTGGGCAGAACTACAGGAAGAAAGGAGGAACATGAAACAAGGAAATATGATATAGGTACAGTGAAACCTGTCGATAAAGACCACCCAAGAGGGACAAAAACAGTGGTCTTTATATATATCGGCAGGTGGTCTTTATGTACAGGTTCCTTTAGTACACGTTTCAATTAGAAACCATTTTCAAGGGAAACACAAAATGTGGTCTTTGTAGACAGGTGGTCACTAAAGCAGGTTTGACTGTATTTCGGCTGTAGGTTTGACTGTTTTTTAATCCTTACCTACGTTATTGCTTATACATACTCAAAAGCAACAGTTCATGCACTATTAATTATTAATTTATATTATAGGAGCTTCACATATCTATTGTTTTTCAAGTAAATTTGTTCAAATGAGACGAGGAGAATTCGGGTCAGATTGTTTTCCCCAACAATATGGAAATTAGCATATCGATCATGTCGATAGAAAGGATATGATATTATTTATTTCAATTTACATTTCACATACAAGCACAGTTTTTTTTTTTTACTGTAATCATTTTTGACGATGAAAGTCTATTCGAGTAATACAGCAGAAGCGCAATCTGTCATTAAATTTAACATGTTCAGTATTCACGTAACTTTCTCAACATTATGAAGAATTATGAAGTATAAGAGATTATCTGGGTGTGACAGGTGTGATGTACTTTTCATATTTCCATCATGAATATATACTTCACATTTCAACAATTAAAATCTCGCTTTTATAATTTTATTGAATAGATTTGCAATTTTATTTGTAAATATATAACATTCTATTTCATATTATTTCTCACTTCGTAGAGGATTTTGTTGCAACGACGAAACAATAACAGTTAAGCCTATATTCATGTGAAATATGAGGCAGGCCTATAGGCCTACAAGTCAATGGGTTCATTAATACATTCATCTCATTGGACGTAAATACAATTAGAATTATTACCTGTCCGCATGTGAAAAAAAAAGGATAGAACTTAGAAAATAATAAACAGGTACTCCGTCACGAAATATTGGGATACGATCTGTTATAATGATTTACACCTGTTGCTGCATACTGATTACTCTCAATCAGTTTGTTATTGATGATATTCAATTATTATTAACGATTAAAAAAGAGTAAAAATACTTACGAATCTCATCTTCATCGTCATATTCCTCCTCCATATTTGACACTTATCGTCACAACCTGAGAAATATACAAACGTGTTATGCAAGTATGTGATACTATTTTATTTGCTGGTCCCACCTCATCAGATTTGTGTCATGTAGGAACCCAACCTGCTGCTGCGATCAATTATTAACAAGCATATGAATAACAACAGTTCGTATGACATATGTAGAATTGTTTGTCCTTGTAATCACACTTTCTTTTCTCGACGCAAGGCTCGTGTAAGATTGTAACAGGTAGTACTATGCTGAAGAAATGCTCAACTTTTCCTCGAACTAATGCTTGTACTTATACAAGATAAAGAACGAGTTATAGGAAATCTAGATTTAAGTTGAGGCAGTGCGAGATATTATTGAATGCCAGGATTTGTACTCATTGTGACGAAACGCAGTGAAGTGTGCAAAGAGCTGGAGAAAATTCCAGCGGAGTTGTCTATTGTGTGAGCAAACAATAAAACTGATTTGCATATGAATGATGTATTTGTTGTGTTGAGTGGGACAATCCTATAATGTATATATGGACTGAGAGGTGGGTCGAGTCTTGGAGGGAAAGAGAGGGGGAATCGAGTGGGAGGAGGAAGGGGTAAGAGGGGAGAGTGGTGGAGAGACATTGCAGGTGAGAGAGGATGGGAGGGGGCAGATAGATGGAGAAAGAAAGCAATTGAGAGAGAGAGAGAGAGAGAGAGAGAGAGAGGGAGAGCGGGGTAGATATATAAATCAATATAGAGAAAGATACATACACAAGGAGAGAGAGAGAAAGGGGGTGAGAGAGAGAGAGCGAGAGTGAGAGAAAGAGAGAGAGAGAGAGGGAGAGAGAGAGAGGGTGAGAGAGAGAGAGGGGGAGGGAGAAAACAGACGGACAGACAGGTAGGCAGGCAGAGAGAAAGAGGGAGAGATAGAGAGACGGAGTAGAACAAGTGAAGTGAGAGAAAACCTACTAGGTCCATGGTTCAATCAACACATACAACATGTCTTTTCTGCTATTCTTTCATTAATCCCGTTATTCATCACATATTCATGGATGCTGGCTGATATAGTTATCGGAAAAATAAAGGAATGTATGATTGTGTAAAGAGGTGCATGAACCAGAGTGTTACCAGACAAATGACATGCCCATATTATATAGCCACTTCTGGAAAATTATGCAGAGAGCTAGACAGAGATAAAAAGAAGTAATGGAGAGAGGGGGGAAATTAGGGCAAAAGGGGCACCCTGGAGAAAAAATAAATGTCACGGAGTAAACAATTTGGCATGATTTCCTTTTTTAAAGTCTGCTCACTTTAGCATGTTTGGAAAACACGCGAATAATCAAATAGAACGTGACAACAACCTGTTCTTGCTTTTGTTTTATTTGTTGCTCTAAAATGTACCATGAATTCCACAATTTTCTGTTTATTTCGATGATTCAATTTGATCATATCAATCAAGGCCTCCATGTGTAGCCTACTGACCAGGTTTTGATACTGACACGTAAATCAGTGCTCTCTCTATATCCACGAGCTACGTCTCCAATTGAAATAGCGCCATCAGGGGTTCTTCGAACGACGGTTCAAACCGAAATGTTCGTCTTAACTGGGATTTTGAAAAAAGAAACGAATAGACCCCCCCCCCCCCCCTACCCAAAAAAAAAAAAACAACAATTATAATATTAATAACATTATTAATAAAAACAATAATAATACTAAAGCTATCAAACTAATAAATAAATCGTAATTTTAAAATATACAATGTATAGTAATAATAATAATGATAATAAAAATGATGATAATAATAGCAATAATAATAACAATAATAATGATGATAACAATAATCATTAACACGGGATTTGGGGTGCAGTGGGCGTATGTTTACAATGAAGAAAGGACGAATCAATATATCAATATCATTATAACGAATAGCTTATACATTTCGTGATACCCTAGAATGTCCTTTTCTCCAAGTAATTAAGCATTGCTCGTCATTATGATCCAGTGTGACAATGTCCTCTGTGCTGTCTTTTCCCCTTTCATCTCCTATCTATATATATCCATCTGTTGGTTTCATTATGTGGTTTTATGCCGCAATGTCATGAAACTATATTAGATAAACATGTAATTGTTTGTTCAATGGTACTTTCCGTTTTCACTTTAAAAACCTTAACCTGTCTACAAAGTGGCATTGACCACTCAAATAGATCACAGATATGTAGATATATATGTGTGTGTCTAATATCACTTTGATTGAATTCAGAGAATTAAAGATTGTTGTAAATATAAAATAACTACTTGTTTCTTTAACAAATAGGAATAAGCTCTGAAGGGTGAGCAAAATTCAGTAAAGTTCTAAATCACAAGCTTCCCTCGATTAACGGGGCTGGTGGATTTTGAGGATTACCTGAATAATTTTGTATGAAGTCAAAATATTATCTGTATAATTATAGGAAAATACACTCAGGAATTTTTGTTTAAAGTGGACACTACTTATAACTAAGATTTGTAAGTAGACAGTTAAAATAAACTCATCTGTTGTATATTAAAATAAGCATTAATTAATCAACTTAAAGATGATATTCAATCGGAATCATTCCATTCACGTATGAGTGAACTTAGCCACCTAACAATAAATGAGTCTCTGCAAGAAATTGCCTAATATGGGGAATTTAATCATTTAGGTGTTGATGAGGATTTCCATCTAGTAGGTTCAAATTAAAACAATGAAGAAAAGAAAATCACTAGAATCACGAAGGGATACTTGTTGTGAAAACCTTGCATTCCTGAATCGTGAGACTGCAGTGGTTATCTAGAGAAATCAGAAGCAGGAAGTCTTTACTGATTTTTCTAAATCCAATTTTCTCTCATTGAAAACATGTTTCATTGCAAAAGAACTATACGTACTCAACTCGCAGTAAAAATCAATAGAATGGAAATACATGGATTAAAGAAAATATATATTTATAAATCCTCTAAAAAATGTCATTGGGTGATGTGTTTAGGATGGTGAGAAAATGCATGCATGCACAGATGTTTGTTATTTATAGTAAGATAAATGTTGTATCTTCGAGAATTTTAGAATGAAAATTTCAAGTTTAAAATGTTTTTAATGTATTGTTTGCATGTATTGATTGTATAACATACTGTACATAATTTAGTATTCATAATTTCGAAATAAAAGAACAATTTTGACATTTTTTTTCAATGCATAGATTGGCTCACATTCATAACGATGCATCGCCTGATCATAAATTATGAGAAGTACTTGTTTTACTATGCAAGTACCTAAAATCATAAGATCACCAGAAAATTATATTAAATTCGAAAGACAATGTTTGTATGCTTGTTTATTTTATCTTAGCACGGTGGCATACTTCAGTCAAATGGCTGTTCTTCAGCATGGCCGTACATGGCCATGATATAGACCGGCATATGGTTAACATTTTATTTCTAATCTGTAGAACCAAGATATATTTTTGTACTTAGAGGTTATTGATCAATACTATATCCTGTTATTAAAACAAGAACGGCTACCCGCGTGCCTAAAAACAGGAAATTTCATACATTTCGATTTGCATTTTGGTGCATACACTTGAAGAGATACATGCTGTGTTTGCAACATTGCAGGGGATTTAAATTAAAAACAAATTATGAAGAGAAGACCAAAGCAACGCTTATCATGATGTACCAGCTTCTGACCGTAATACGACAAACAACCAGGAAGTAAATATGTTTGGGACATTAAAAGTGTGCAGCCCTCGTCGCACAGCAAGAACGCGTAACCTTCTTTACCATCAAACTCTATATTTTACAGACAGAAACTAACATGTTTGTAAAAATGAAAAATGAAAAAAGCGAAGCAATATATACTTTGCTCTTTAAAGTTTCCGTAAAACAAAAGTTAACTCAATAACTCTTGCACAAGGATAGCGGGTATCCCGGAAATATCCCCAGGGTTCCGCCCCCCATATATCAACTTTTGAAATATAGGGCAATAGCAGAGCAAATGGCAAAACAATCCCTTTCTCAGCGCCGCCCCACCCCCTAAAAAAGAGGCCCATAAAATAATATTGGCCTCCTGAAAAAGCCCTTTAATACGGTAACGACGGCAAGTGAATTTAAGTAATTTACCGACAAATAGAAGCCTGTATGCCTTGTCGGAGAGAGGGGAAAAGAGAGAGTTAATATTAGAGAAAGAGAAAGAAAGAAAGAAAGAAAGAAGAGAGAGAGAGAGAGAGAGAGAGAGAGAGAGAGAGGGGGGAGGGAGGGAGATATATTTTATTGCAACTAGTAGATCACAGAGTTATGTTTTGTATCTTTTATGCACAGAGTCGGCATTGACATTGATCTCAAATCGAGATGAGATTGAGCGCAACTCACTATTACTTAGACGGTGAAAATTGTATTGCCCATGAATCCCTTTCTTGTAGTATAAAGACAAGCGCGAGAGTTATCATGTTTAGAGCCAAATAAGATAATTCAATATGGTAAATATAGACTTTTGGATATTTCAGCAACGGTATAACATCAATAATACTTATATCGAACATCCCTGGCTGAAGCAACTCCCTCGTTCTCTCTCCTTAATATCCTGATCAATTTAGAAAGGCAAGATAGTTGCCAAGTTCGAAGGAGGGTGTGAGGAGAGGGGAGGGGGGGGGGAGAGGAGATAGGGGAGGGAAGATGGTGAGGGGAGGGGAGAGGTGAGTTGAGGTGGGAGAGCCCTAGAGGGGAGGGGAGAGGAATATAGAAGGGAGGGAAGGGGAAGGGGTTTGATGTTGATGATAATGGTCAAGGCCGGGACCCCATTTTATCAGACTGTTCATTGGACAAATTTGACAAAGAGTATCTTCATACGTTGGAACTCCCCATCGGATTCCAAATTTGGGGTGTAACTTATTGTGCAGGTCTGCAGGAGCACTTCATTACATTGTATTATATCGAATGAGGTGTTTAAAGGTGTTGTTTGGATGGTCCAGTGAATAAGTCTTCGGACTGTGAACTAAAAGGTATGGGGTTCGAATACCTGAAACAACGCTATCGTCCTTTGGCAAGACGTTGATCTTCATTTGCCACACTCTACCCAGGTGAGGTAAATGGGTACCTGGTAGGATTATTCCTTGGAATGCACTGTGCGCGGATAACGGCTGCCTGAGGTAGAGCTAGGGTAATAATTCATTTGGAAGCGCGTAGGGACTTTTGATCAATGGGTTATGCGTCTACAAGAACGGATTATTAGTATTATTAAATAACGCGATAGTGTTGTCTTTGAATATAAGATTGACATCGACGACAGTTGGAATACCACTTTTATATCTTTTACATTCTTCTGTTGTTAATTCCTCAGTGAGTATATGGGGTCTAATGTGGTGCTATGTCGGAGCAAA